TTACCCGCTGGGGCCAAACGCAAGTACCAGGAAGACTCGGACCCCGAACGCAGCGACTACGAGGAGCAGCAGCTGCAGAAGGAGGAGGAGGCGCGCAAGGTGAAGAGCGGCATCCGCCAGATGCGCCTCTTCAGCCAGGACGAGTGCGCCAAGATCGAGGCCCGCATCGACGAGGTGGTGTCTCGCGCCGAGAAGGGCCTGTACAACGAGCACACGGTGGACCGGGCTCCACTGCGCAACAAGTACTTCTTCGGCGAGGGCTACACGTATGGCGCCCAGCTGCAGAAGCGCGGGCCGGGCCAGGAGCGCCTCTACCCGCCGGGCGACGTGGACGAGATCCCCGAGTGGGTCCACCAGCTGGTGATCCAGAAGCTGGTAGAGCACCGCGTCATCCCCGAGGGCTTCGTCAACAGCGCCGTCATCAACGACTACCAGCCCGGGGGCTGCATCGTGTCCCACGTGGACCCCATCCACATCTTCGAGCGCCCGATCGTGTCTGTGTCCTTCTTTAGCGACTCCGCGCTCTGCTTCGGCTGCAAGTTCCAGTTCAAGCCTATCCGAGTGTCGGAACCTGTGCTTTCCTTGCCGGTGCGCAGGGGGAGCGTGACTGTGCTCAGGTAACCCACCTGGGAGGAGGGGCGGCCCTGCTGCTGTAACTGCCTACCCTGGCCCAGGCAGCAGCGGCCTATAGGCGCCCGCACTTTGCAGTTCTGACCCACTCCTGTCTTTCATACTTGTAATAAGAAAGTAGGGACGGGTCTGGGAACCATCTAGAATTCTATGTCCGGAGGGTAGGTGTGACGTGATCACGGACTGTATGAGAATTAATCTATAGGCATCTTTCCAGAAGGCTAAGATAATTAGCAATCTCTTTTCCGTTGTGATTTTAGCAAGTTTTTATTCTGGGCCTCCGTTTTCAAGTTTATGTGTTTTTTAAAAAATGAGTTGAACTTACCATTTCGAAATCTTCCCAACTGTGCCATTCATGGTTTCCTTAACAGAGAAAGTAAACTATTTATGAATTTCTTAACAGAAAATACAGGGAAGGCTCCCCGGAGCATATTTAATTGATACACATTCTCCGTCCCAAGAAGGGCAGTGACTTCCCTGGAATTAATTGAACAGAGTTGTGGTTGGGCCAGGAATAGAGTGCAGCCCACACTTAAAATTCAGTCCCTGTTGGGTGCAGTAGACCATCGGTCCTTCGTAAGAATGTGTTTACCTCTTACCAGGAATAAATGAAACAAAGCGGGTCTCTACCTAGAATTTGGTCTTATAGTTAGCAGCAGGACTTAGGTTCTTGGCCTATTTTGGGCCCCAGATTCTGCTGAGAATTAGCCAGTGCCCTGGCCCCCAGAGGAGATTGCCGGCTGGAACACCTTTGCTGTTTATATGAAGCAGAACATTATCTGGAAGCTGCCTCCTTCAGCCTTGAAACAAGTAAATCTAGCAATGTATTTCAGTAATCCCCAAAACCTCCTGGGAGGTCTAGACTCCAGCTGTTCAGAGAGGCTTGGTTGACCACCAAATTCTAGTACAGCATCAGGACACACTCCAGTTTTGTTGTGAGCAGTTTAACCTCTGAAGTGTCATCAGTGCTGTAGCCCACAGCCATGGGTCGGTGGAGCCCTCTGAATGTCATGAGCAGGTCATCTAATTGGAGTTGAACAGCTGAGGCTGATTCCATACCTGGGATGGCAGCAGAGCCTTGTGATCCTGAAGGCCTCCTGGTGGGAAATTTGGGGAAGTCAGTGGCAGTAGAAGCAGTACTTGGGCTTCCTTATGTATCAGTTGCCCCTTTGTCAATCGGGCTTCTGGCTTCTCAGACCTATACATGGTGCTCCCAGAGTGGTGTCTTAGGAGAACCCTCAGGGTGGGATTTCAGGGCACCCTCCAAGTGGCTGCTGTGGAAGACAGCTTGGTGTCTGACTTCGTTGAAGGGTACTAGACTCTGAGAGGACTTCATACAAGGGCCATTTGGTCTCTTAATGGGATATCAGTTTTCCACATAGTCACAGGGGTTGTCATCAGAAGGTCTAACAGTAGTCGGTTGTGTATTGAGATCACAAGGGGCAGTTTGTGACTTTGAGAATCCCCCCACCCCTATACACATGCATACCCTTTTATTGAAGAAGTTTCAGGTTCTGAAAATGCAGGTCTGGGAACACTTTGTAAAGTATGTGTTTGACCGCTATGCTGTACACGTGAAACCAATACAAAATAATACTGAAAGTAAACTGTAATTGAAAGGTAAAAATATTTTTTAAATGCCAGTCTGTTAGTGATTGGCAATGGGATTGCATCATCAGGAAAATTATCTTCATCTTTTCTTCAAAATAGTAAAGTCCTAAAGGTTTCAAGTCCCTTCTCTGGCTGTGGAGTTAGTGTAGGAGACTCAGCATGTCCTGAAAAGTGCTGCCCCAGGCTTTGAATCCAGCTCTCATTTGGGATCTCGTGGGCAGTCTCTGAGCTTGCTGTCCCATTTGTAAAGCCTCGTAGAATTAAGTATAGTGATTTTGTGCGTGATATAGGGCCTGGCGCTTAAATGGGTGCTTGCTTTTGTGCACACCCATTTAATGAGTCCCGGCTCTCTCTGGAGAAGCGGATAGGGATTTGATAGAGCCTAAAACATGCCTCTTCCCTTCATGGAATTCATAGACCAGTGGAGATTGCAGATAGTTACAGCCCAGGAAGGCAACTGCAGGAGTGCATTAAACGGGGGGAGAAGGGACATCTTAACCCACTCCGGAGTGTTGGAAGTTTGGGGGAGGAAGTAAGCTGGAACTTGAAGGGTGACTAGGAGTTAGCTAAGCAAACTCTTTTGGCAGCAGTAGCAGGGAATAGGTAAGGGGCAGAGGTAGGTGCTAACTTGAGGCAGATGAAGTTTATTATTAGCTCTCACATCCGACCTGGACCTGAAGTAGATTCTGGTGCAGCATGCCTTGGTAAAATAGCAGTACTGTTGACATTTTGGGTGGGCTAATTCTTTGTTGTGCTGGGGCTGTCCAGTATATTGTAGAATGTTTAGCAGCATCCCTGGCCTCTATCCACTAGATTCCACTATCACCTATGACAGTACAAAAATGTCTCCAGATACTGCCAAATGTCCCTTGTGGGGCAAAATCATCCTCAGTGGAGAGCCATTGTTCCAGGGTTCTGAACACTCCCACTTATTTAAATCTTATAGCACCTGCCCACTTAGTACTCTCAGCTTACTTGGTATGCAGGTGGGTGAACACCTGCCTGCTTGTGGTTCTTTTCAAATCTTGCTCGGTTCTAGCTCAGCGGTTCTCAACCTGTGGGTCGCGATCGCTTTGGTGGTCGAATGACCCTTTCACAGGGGTTGCCTAAGACCATCCTGCATATCAGATATTTACATGACGATTCATAACAGTAGCAACATGACAGTTATGAAGTAGCAACGAAAATAATTTTATGGTTGGGTCACAACATGAGGAACTGTATTTAAAGAACCAGAAGGTTGAGAACCACTGTTCTAGCTGGTAAAAAGGTGATGCTTTCTTTCACTTCCTAGTATGTATCCCATCCCAGCGGTGAGAAGTTGTGAGGTTGCCATTGGAAGGGAACGGCTGATGATGATCAGTAGATGGGGAAAGTTTGTAGTAATTCTCATTTGACTCAGACTTCAGTTGCTGGTGGCAGCGATGTCTGTACTTGTTCAAGGCAACATGGCGGGAATACACTTTTATATTTAACTAGGGGCCTGGGGTGGGATCCCTCAGACTGGCCTGCGGGGATCGGGCCAAAACCCACTCTCTGACATCCCCCAAGGGGTCCTGGATTGCAAGAGGGTGGTTCTCGGGTGACGCACCCTGGAATCGGGCTCCCTCCTCTCTGGTTCTGGGTGTTGTGTCACCCGAGAACTGCAGCTGCCAAGTCACCACAGCTCCGCAGTTCCTGCATTGAGCACCTGCCCCCTGGTGGTCAGTGCATGCCATAGCTACCAGTTGGAGCATCTGCCCCCTGGTGGTCAGTGCACGTTCATAGCTACCGGTCAGACAGTTACTTACTTAGGCTTTTATATATAGAGATAGTTGTCAGCATGGATATTAGTGTGTGGCACACATTGACTCAGCAGTGTCCAACTGTGGGCATAGAGCAAGGCCTCACAGACCCTTCTGGAATAGCTTCAGACTTCTTTCCAAACCCAGTTAGCAGTTGTTTTTTCCCTTTCCTATGTTGGGTTTGGGTGGACCCTCTCTTAATGCTGTTCTCTAGGGAACTAAATATATTTCACCTCCTCTTCATACCACATTCCTCTCCTATTCCTTGAATGGACAGATTAAAACATATTTCAGTTGGGTTAATTAGAATGACTACCTCAGCCTAATTGCTTGCTTGCTGCTACTTTTAATCATTGCTGCATGGTCAGTGGTTGTGGTGGCCATGAGCCTGGAGACCCAGGTCTTAGCCATCTGTCTGGAAATGACTATCTCACCCAGCCATGGGATAGGAAGAGGGAAGCTCAGCCTGTGACTTCTATTAAATAGTTGATAATGGGGTGGAGTGGGCACCCCTGTCAGTTCTGGGCTAAGGGCTGATCTTGTTCAGCGGGTTGAAAGCAAAATTTAGGTTTCTGGCTTAAAATAGTTGGGAAAGTAGGGCATATGGGTCTGGGCCACATCTCTTGTGTGGAAACTTTCAATTCCATGGGAGGGGAAGGAATCTCAGGATCAAGTCAGGGCTGTGCATTCTTAAGAGGCACTCTGGGCCAGGGGAGTTGGCTGACCTTGGTTCTGTCAGGCCTGACAAGAAGGCAGAGGGCAGTGAAGGAAAGGAAGCTAGTAGGCAAGCCATGGTCTTAATCTTGGAGCTCAGAGCAAGTAGAAAATAAACAGGCCATAAAAATTGCAGGGTTGGATGGGCATTTTCAGCTGGGCAGTTGTGTGCAACTGTTGCTGAGGTATTGCTGAGGCTAGTGAAGCCCCAAGAAGAAATTGGATCTTCTCACCAGGAAACATAGTGGGCTTTTCTTCCTAGCCCTCATTACCTACTCTCCTATCCAAAATAAAAATGCAAAAGCCAGTGTAGCACACTGAAACGAGGTGTTTAATTATAGTTCCAGAGTCACCACTTTAGCTGTTGACCTTGAGCAAGTTACTTAACCTCTCTGGGCCTTAGTTTTTCCTCTGCCAGATAGGGCTGTTAATACCATAGGGTTGTTATCGAAGATTGAATCTCTTTCACACTATGGAATGCTTGAAGTTTAGGTAAAGTGGCTCTGGAGATGAGCTGCCTTCTCTGCTCAGCTACTCCATCTATACCTTGGTGTATACAGAATTGGGACTCAGAGAAGGTTGACCTTCTTTGTAGGAAGCTTTCCTACAAATTAGGCAATGTGTCTTCTTGGAGGTTTGCCTAGGTGGCTGACCTGCTACCCCCCAAAAACCTAAGCTTCTCAGCCATGCAAAAATCACTGGATGCTGCCCAGAGCAGGTAGCACCAGCCAGAGGGAGGCTGTCACAAGGCCAATATCTTGGCCAGTCCCTCCATCTCTGGTTTTATCCTGCGCCAGGCAGGGCACAGAGTAGAAGGGGAATCGTGGCCATTTTGGAAACGTGCCTTAACAACTCAGTCTCCAAGACTGTCCCCTAGAGGAGAAGTGTACAGTACCTTATCATTGAGTTTTTCAGATTTCTGATTTATCCTGCACCTAATCCACTGAGGAATGACTTGCTGTTTTGCAGATGTAGAAACAGGCTTCAAAGCAGTAAAAAAGTTGAGCTCAACACACATGTCATTGTGTCCACTGTATGCAGAGATGAGTAAGAACTTTGCAGAGCTTTGTCTTGTAGGGAAGATATTTTCCATAAGGCTACATGTAGTAGTAGAGAGGCGAGGGTGGGCAGTGAGGGGGACCTGAGGGGGACCCAGCCCTGGGGAGTTGAGGGGTCACTCTAAGGCACAAAGCTAGTGGATGACAGAGCCAGGCTCTCTGAGTCTTGATGCTTGCAGCATACTACTCACTGCTCCTTGAGGGGGCTCAACCCAGGCAGGCTGACCAGCATGAGGTATTTCTTCCTTTCTCTCCTCTATGAAAACAGAAGAGCAGGAGGCACTGGACTTTGCTTTATGCCCAGGGTAAAGCTGAACCCAGGCGTATTAAGTTTCAAGTTGGCAGACTAGGACTTGCAAACAGGTTCTCTTATGACAAGTAGGTTCCTTAGTAGTAAGTAACTTACCCTCTTGGTCTCTGCTGGACACTCTGCTGAAGGTTGGCCAGACGAGTGTCCCTTGATCAGGACTTTGAGCCTCCCGCTCCCAGCAGAGCCTGATACTCTGAGGAGGGCTTAGTACATCGTGTCACAACTGCCAGGAAGTTCTAGAAGACCAGTGCTAATGAGCTTTTCAGGAGGGTCAGTGCCTTGGTCATTCTGTAGTCCTACCTCCTCACTAGTTCTGAGGCCTGGGCTCTGTGGCTTGTTTTACATTCTAGAGCCTTTGGGGCACGGGCACAGTCAGGATTTGGCAAACATCTGGATTTTCTCCAGAACTATATTAAGGGAGTGGTTCCTTGTTGGAGATGGGAAGTGAAGTCCCTTGGTGTAGTGCCTGCAGTAAAGTCAAGCAGATTGATAACACTTGTTAACAGTAGGGAAGGCTGCCTGTAGCCAGTACTGCAGATTTAGGCCATAGAAATGTGCCTTGAGAACCTTTGGGGAATTGGATTCAGGTCTTTGAGGAAGTCCTGTGTTTACATGGGACTGTCTTGCAGCCCAGATCTGCACTTCCCCAGTGTGGAGTGCAAGAATGTAGGAGGGGCCGAAACCGGTTTGGCTCAGTGGATAGAGCGTCGGCCTGCGGACTGAAGGGTCCCGGGTTCAATTCTGGTCGGGGGCATGTACCTGGGTTGCGGGCACATCCCCAATAGGAGATGTGCAGGAGGCAGCTGACCGATGTTTCTCTCTCATCGATGTTTCTAGCTCTCTGTCTCTCTCCCTTCCTCTCTGTAAAAAAATCAATAAAATATATTTTTTAAAAAAAGAATGTAGGAGGGGACCTAGCCCTGGGAATAGGGCCCAGGAGGCCTCTGCTGCTGGCAGATCCCTGCATGGGGAGCCTGGATCATGTCTTCTTGGTAAGAAATCTACCCCAGGTTCTGGCTTGCCCCAGGGTGGTCCAGGGCCCTCTGGTTTGTGTCAAATGTTTAGTCTTTGGGAGTGGGATGCCATGCTCTCAATGAGGGCATGTGATGGGGCTTGGGAAGCTGAGTTTGCTTCCAGAATATCAATAGGAACGATGTTAGCTGTGAAGAGGACAGTCATCTACATTTATTGGTTGGTGAGCAGTTTTAAAATCACGTGTCTGATGAAAACAGGAATTTGAGTGTCACAGCTGTCTTCAAGATTTCGGATTCCCCCAAATGGAGGTTTTTTTAAAGCTTTTATTTTTCAAGTAGACAGATCCTCTTTGTGAACATTGCAGTCAGTGCTGTCAGCGTTTAACTTGGATTCCTCTGCAAGCCAAAGGGTGAGGGACAGGGAGAGAAGGAGGAGGAGATACTTGTCTTGTCACCAAGGTCTGGCCTGGGTCACTCCAACTGTCTCCAAGGTGACAAAGGTGTGCCCTTTCGGTGGCCTTGAAAAGAAGGACTCCTCGCTTGTACAGGGGGATTCCTGCTTTGGCTTCTGCCTTAAGGCTCTTCTTTGCCTCATCTCAGGTTTTCCTTGCATGGTTTCAGAACAGAAATGTTATTTACCTCTCAAATAATGGGGCCCACAGCGGCAGTAAGACCTGGGCCATAT